GACTCTTCAAAACATGGTCTAAGCATGCTTTTTCCACTTCATTACTTACTACAACATTGAAGTCTGTTTTCCTCACTATAACTGTGGTTATCCCTGCAACTGTAGATACACCAGTACTGAAAATCACGAGAAAGCTGAATGAGCACCACAAATAAAGCTTTAGATATGAAATTTGGATCCTGTCTTAATATATGAGTGACAGAAAACTGACCTCTGGAAAACTATAATCTGTGAGGATCTAACCCTTCCTCTCTGAATTTCAATAATGTTTGGGTAGCTGACTCTACACACGGTATGAAATGGATTTAATATTATCATGTAAATAAAAGTTATTGAGAAATCAATGAGCAATTTGAAATTTCCTTTCATGGTTTTTATTTTCAAATTGAATGACTTCTTCTTAATCTTTAACTATTTCTGATATTATCACTCTACAAAACACATTTCAAGAAAGTTCTACCCTCTCTCAAATCCTTTTGTGAGTTATTAATCATTTTTTTTCCCTCATTTACAAATAGGGTCAATTTTCTCCCCTATTTTCAAATCTCTCCTTCCCCAGTGATTTTCTTCCATTCACCTCCTCCTCACAGATAAATCTATGCCTCTGTTATCTGTTCTCTCCCATTTGCACATTGACACAACCCTTGTCTTCCCCCACAGACTTTTATCCACCTATTTTTACTGAAAGTATACAGTCATTCCCTAATTGTTGCATCTAATGAGCACCTGTCGAGCCTTATATTGTTTGAATGTTCTGGACTGATCTGTTGATTTCTCTTTGTCTGAAATTCTCTCTTTTGCCTCCTTATGTCACTATTTTGTTTGTTTTTGTTGTTGTTGTTTTGTTTTTTAAATATTTACTTTTTAGTTTTAGTTTTTATCTCTATGGCCTTTCCTTCTCAGGCTTCACCCTAGAGTTCTTCTCCTCTGTCTGTTTCTAAATTGTTGATGATCATCAGGTTTGCATAATTAATTGCCTTCCCTACTCATTTTAAAATATTTATCCTGGATAGATTCATCTCTTCTCATAAGTTAGGAGAAGTTCTCTCTAAAGCTGACAATTTCTAAAGCTGCATCTATAAAGCAGAAACCAGAAATCCACCCCTCATGAGCACCCACACATAAACAGTACTCAATTCATTTTCCACCTCTATGTAAAGAATCCTCAACTACAGGAAGAACTATCTGCCCAGTGCTCCTCAAACATAGCAGACTCAGATCGACCTTTGTCTCATTTATTTTCCTTTATATATAATTGCCACTTGCCTTCATCCTCTTTCATCTATTCAAATGGCATTGATTCTTTATGCTCCACCAGTTTTGCAATGTTTTCCAGTAACTTACCTTAGTCCATAACATTCTTTTTGGTGAATTTCTTTAGTTTTCTAGTTTCTCTAATAAACAAATAAGATAAAATTCCAGGATGTGACCCTTTTTTGTTCCTTGGAGCTGCCTCCTTGACCTACATTTACATTGGGTATGTGGTTCTCCCCTCTCCCCCCCAGCTCCCGATGATCAAATCAGAGAGTAGTGACTCGTCTCATGATGAGCCATTCACAATCGCTGCTAACTGGAACTCAGAGGTAGCTAATCACTCTGCCCCTGTTACTTGAGTGAAAAACATAACCTACATAACAGGAAAGCCATTTTAGCCACGTGCACAATGAAACAGCAAAATCCTGACCTCCCGATAAAGAAGGAAATAAGAAAGTATGTTGGAGATTGCAGAAATAAGACTTGCAGGCAGTTGATAACCGGTTTTCTAAGTTTCTCAGACTCTTCTGATGTTGAGAAGCACAAGCCTGTCTTGGGCAAGGATTTGTTCTCAGGTCCTCTTATGTCCCTTTTTGCTTCATAGTTTGAAGTGATTTTCTGTTTGTTTCCACAAAACAAAATGTAACAGAATTAACCCATCTTTATATGTATTACATGTTACCTTGCGCTGTTATTTAGTCTTTCCCAACGTATACAGTTTGTTTGCACAGTTAGTTGGAAAAGCTCCTCTAGAGTAGGAATAGTGTCTGGTTATTCTTTTCCTTGAGTCCTCCCAGTGGTGCCCTTGTACTGTGAAAACCTGAAACCGACTGAGCCACTTTCTCTATTTAACTTAACTGTTTCCCTTCTTTGGAATATATTGCAATGTTCTGAATGCACTTAATATTCTTGTATTTCAATTAAATGAATGAGTTTTTTGATATTTCCACATCCATTCCCTTCAATCTTTCTCCTTTGCTTCTTAAAAAAATAAATAAGAAAACCAACAGGGAACTTGTGTTTAGGGGGAAAAACAGGAGAAAAAGCAAAACCTTTAAGATAGGATGCTAAAAATAACTTTTCTTGAAGAATCCAATCTCTCCTTATTCTAGTATTTCCTTCGTCTTTTCTAGTATTTGCTCACTCTTGGAGAAGAGTGGTGGTAGGAAGTAATGCTCAATTTTATTCAAACCACAGATATTATGAACAAAGTAACTCTTTGTAATTCTTTGCAGAGCTCAATTATTATATTCAAATCTTATTTTGATCACCATCAAACTGAAAGAGGCTAGGATTAGGAAGTTGAACTAGAGTCTTATCATTGCTTTGTTATTAATTAATTATAGGACTTTGGATAAACTACTTAATATTTTTGTGCCTGTTTCCTCAGCTGCCAAGTGACAATCGGATATTATATTATGAATCTCACGAGAAAACGTAAAGGTGAAAAGAGTTTTTAGAAACTCATATTAAAGGTGGTCATAGGAAGACTGGTAATCAAATACTACTTTGCAATTTTAACAGAATTTGGATGAGTGTAAAAAGAAACCTTCAGAGATTCAAAATATTCCTAAACTTATAATGAGATTCTGTATTCTCCAGGCTCCTTTCTTAGCCTATGTTGGACCTGCTTGGCATTTATCCTCCCCAATCTTTTTCTGGTTTCTCTTGAGGCCAGAGTGCCAGCTGTGCTAAATTGTGTGATAATTCTGTGCCATGAACAATTCTCCTGAGAAAGCAGAGCCGAATGCTAACACTGTGACTAGGCATAGAAGGAAAGCACTGCAAGCTGCAGACAGTGTTAGTCGCTTGGAGTTGCTCTTTTATCACTTTATTTTACATAAAGCAGGAAACAATGATCCTGTGATGGGAACCAAATCTCATAACCAAAATGTATTTAAAAAAAAAAAAAAGATATTGGGGGCCTCTAAGCTCTGGCTCAGAGTTCAGTGTCAGGGTGAAATGTATTTGGTCTTCAGTAGCTAAGCATGACTCTAGAAGGACAGGTGTTGGTCAAGCTTTGGCAAGTTACCATAACTAGGCTCTGTCAAGATCCATTATTAATTCAGGTCATACTGAAGGAAAAACAATGTTGACTGCTCTTGGTGGTTCATCATTTTAGCTGATTTTGAAAACATCCAGACAGAATAATAATATTCTTTTAGTCATAGAATAGGTGGGTGTCCAGGGATTTTGGGGAAAGAGAAATTGTTAGAAAAATAATTCTCTAACTTTATGAGTCAGTACCATGCATGAACAAACATGGTGGCTCTTTCTCCGGTTTTTATTTGCTCTACATATGCCTTTTTTATGTTTCAGAACAAAAGTTTTAAATCTCTCTAAAAATTCTGAAGACATGCCTTGTCTATGAAAATGCTCCCCAACCAATTTCAATACCTTCATGAATAATAGATTAATTTCATTTCCTACTGATCCTTTCTCTACATGGCAACCAAAGTGGTCTTTTGAAAACCCAAATCTAATCATGTCACTTCTTGATTAAAATCCTTCAACAGGTCCCCATTGCCCTCAAGATAATGTCTAAATTATTGTAATTTTTAAGAGAGAGTTAGGACCAGTCCCTGGTTATCTCTCCAACTTTGATCATCTAAACCATGAATTAGAATCTTCCTCTCCATTGTGCTGCTCTCCTGGCACATGCAACCAAGGACTCTGTGTTCTGGTCACACTGGCTTGGCTCTCTTTTAAACCCTGCAGCCACCATTCCCCTCCCTTCATCTAAGGATTTCCTAGTCCCTAACCCTGAGTATGCCCCTCTGCCTGCCCCTCAAGAACCTCATACTCACTCCCTCGAGGTGTTCTGTTGTGTTGTTAGTCTTTTAACCACAGATATCAGCTCCTCAAGGTCAGGGTCACCTTGTATCTATTTCTGGTCACAAGATATTATTCAATAAATACCAGAAGGAAGTTCTACAAAGGAAAACTGAGAGATGAACACCGGAAGACAGAGAGGAAGAGAGGTACCAGGGAGATGAAGACCCCTAGAGCAATCTGGCTGATTGCTCAGTTCTTTATGTTTTCTTCAGATCCTGCTGATACACAGTTCTGGAGGGGGTAGTTGATCTGTGGCTTCCTTCCATGCTCCAGGACTTCCGCATCTCTGCTCCCTTCCTTTTGAATTGCCCGCACCCTAGTCAGCATTTGCCTCAAGTGCCACATTCCAGTAAGGTCTTCCCAGATAGATTTCCCACCCAAACAAAGTTTTTTAGTCTCATGGTCCTAAGGCATTAGAAAGTTTCTCCTTTTCATTAAAGATTACGGACCTCTATGGTCGCTCCACCACAAAGATACATGACATATCAAAGGAAGAACAGCCCACAAAAGCTCCCAGAAGGACCATATAGCCAAAGATGAGAGCAGAATTTAATTTTAGCTAAGTATCACACTATTTGAGAACACTGACCTCTTTAACTCAATCTGTCTCTCGTCTTTATTTCAACACATCTTATGTGAAATAAATTGCATTTATTTATATCACTTATATAAATGATAAATAAGTAGCATTTATATCATTAAATGTAGCAAAGTACCAATGAAGATTAAACTGGTCCTATTATTGCATTTGACTTTTTGCTTTACACCAAATATCTGTATCCCCACAAAATCCCTATGTTGATGTCCCATTCCTCAATGTGATACCATTTGGAAATGGAGTTTTTGTGAGGTTGTTAAGAATAGATGGAGTCATGAAAGCAGAGCTCCCATGGTGGGATTATTGAACTCACAAGCAATAAAAAGGTCCATGTTCTCTCTCCAGTCTGTGAAGATATATCATAAAGGTGGCTGTCTTTCAACCAGGGAAAGGGTCCTCAACAGATCTGGAATCCACTGATGTCTTAATCTTGAGCATTTCAGCTTCTAGACCTATGAAAAATGAGTGCTTAATATTATTAAAGTGTCCTGTTCTAAGGTGGTTTGTTATAGAGTCCCTTTCTGACTAAGACAACACTTTGTTAGTGAGCAAAATCATGGTAGTATAGGCAAGGACAGGAATTTATCATGGAATCATTAAAAGTGGCCTTTCTTCCAAGTGTAAATGCTGAGACTTCTAAGGGGAGAGAGTAATTATTCTTTTAGAAAAGAGAAGAAAGGGAGATGAAATTATAGAGACTACAACATAGCAATGGATGCTGGAACCAGTCCTGTAACAGTACATTTCTTTTGTGTCTGAATCTAGCAGCTTGGAAAAATTGAATAAATGCTCCTGGCTGGATACGTAGATTCTATGTGACCTTGAAAAACTGTCCTGGAAGTTTCTGGTTATTCCCAAATCTCCATTTCCTTGAACATCAACTCATTGCAACAAAACTCTTCTTAATTTTGCATGCCTTCATAAAGTGTTTAATTTGTTGAATTGTTTTAAAAAGTGTGTAAAATTGAATTTAATCACATTATTTGTATTTTCTTTCAGTTTTTTAATATGTTCACTTGAAATATTGTCAGAGTAAAGGATTTTCCTAGGGAAGATGTGCATCAGAGTGAGTCACTGTGCTGATGGTCTCCCTAGTACATTCAACCCTAGTCTTGTTAATACATTCTACTGAGGTCATGAGGTAGAATGTCTCACTTCTTATAAGTCAAAGTATAATGATACTAAAATGCAAACTAATTTGTTAATAGAGTCATCATTAAATGAGTGCTAAGACAGAAGATGTGGACCCAACTTCTCTACAATGCACAAGGAAATTAGCACAGAATTGTAGAATAGCAATAAAGAATTTGAGATATTTGGGTATCTTTTATTTTTGTCAAAGCAGAGAAATTGACTAGGCCTTGTGAGGAGAAAAGAAAGTCATGTGGGTAGGAAAAATAAAAGTGGTTATTGCTCCAAATAGCTGGTTTTCATTCAATCTATTAATTAATTGTTGATGATGTTATACTTACTTTTTGGCAAGATCTATTGTATTCATGAATGTTTTTTCTAAGAGTTTTCTGTTAAAATAGGCATACTGAATACAGGATAATATTTTTTAGGAAAAAAAAAAGTGGATGTTGCTCAAATTTTCTGAAGTTCTGTTAAATGGAGCCAGTCTCTCTCTTCTTGAATTTGATTCAAATCTACCATTACAAGGAAAGCCAGTATAAATGTCCTATTTTCTGTTCATGCATTCTTGCTTTATCACTGTTTTCTCTATTCTTCTTGCCATTTTGTTTTCATATCAGTTCTCTCAAAAATTCTGAGTTAAGCATCTTGTGACTTTATATTTATTAAAGATTTGGATTCACAGAGGAGGATTAGGTATGCTTCGCATATTATTTAAAAATATTTAAAAATATTGTTATTCATCCAAATAAAACCACTTTTACACTGGTTCTTTCTTCAACTTTCTTAGCCTGGGAAGTAATATCTGGTCCCCAGCAACCAATGACAGGGGAAAAGTCCTGCCACAGCAGTTTCCTGGCACTTTGAGAATTGTGAAGTATACATTTTTTTCCCACCTTATTACATAAACTACTCATCAGGCTAAAAAGACTAAATATAACAACTCCTCTTTTATTGATTTCAGTTTTTAATTAATTTCATTTGTGCCTTCAAAAATGTTTTTAAAATATTTAAATTATTAGATGAATAAAACACTTACATATAAAGAAAATCACTTGAAATTAACTACATATTCATTTATATACAACGGAAAGCCAGAGAGCTTTCCAAATAGTTCAAGTTCATTTGTGATCTTATCCAATCTTGAAATAAACATGAGTAACATATAATATATTGTTGTATCTTTTCTTTATTGTTTTAATAGTCTTCATATGGAAGTCCTTAAAAATTTTTAAATCACATAAATTCTCATAGATAATGAAACACCAAAGTGATTAAACATCAATATCATGCAATGAACCATATTTACTCTAAAGCTCTGTCTACATAGGTAACAAATGAGAAAAACTGAATAACAGCAAAAATTAATTCAGGTAGTCATGTGATATGAATCTTACACTGGTCAAATTGCTCTACAAAATGTATATTCTTTTAGCAGGATTACCAAACTCATCTTTCAATATATCACTCCCCTTGCCAAATTTACTTAGTACATAACCCTTGTAACTCTCTATAAATCACCCTACCATCTCTATAAGCACTTCAATTATATGAGATTTTATTTAAAAATATTGTTATTCATCCAAATAAAATTAAATGGAGCCAGCTGCCAAATGCTATGGGAATTTAGATGCAATAATGTTTTTATGAAAGGGCAATAAATTACCTAGAGATTATAGCTTTGTCTTCTTTGAAGGGAAAAATATTCCAGACAAAAAAATTCCAACAAAACTTTTACTTGATATTTTGCCTTAAAAGAAACAAGAGACTATAAATTAGCAGGAGTAAACCGCTGCATGGGTCATCAATATGTAACATTTCCTCTCCTTTTCAAAGTACATCTATCAATAAATAGCACAGAGCACACAGTACAACTGCACTTAGGTAGAACGTAAGAGATGTACGATAGGCCACCCACAAAATAACCTCAGTCACCAGAGGAATGATAAAATTATCTGGAAATGAGAAGTGTCCTGCCTTGCAAAGCATCTTCACATCAAGAAATAGAAATCACTAGAGAGAAAAAGAAAGAAGCTTTGCAGGAAAATACTAAAGAAAGCAAGGTATTTCAGACAGCTACCCCAAATCTCTATTATGTTCTAATTTCTATATCAGTTTTTAAGATTCTCATTGAGGTACCTCCTTCTCTTTTCCAGATCAGCAATCTTCCACAAATCTGTAATCAAGTATAATCCAGTAAATTGCCTTTGACAGTATAGTAAAATATCTCACTCTCACCAGAATGTAAACTCTGCTAGGAAGGGATATATGTTTCTGTACTGCTTAATGTGTATCATGAGCACCAAAATCAGTGACCAACACATTTTCTTAATGAATATTGTGGGGTAATCCCCTGCATCTTCCTCTTATGTGATTAGGCATAAATTCATAGATGGCATTATACTATTTGTATCTAGAATTCTTTTTTCTTTACTTCTAATGATTTCTTTTTTAAAAATTTATTTGGCTTGGAATTCGTGTTTGCTAGAATTTGATCTACCAAATGGCACACACAGAGTGACAACTTTCCATATGCATAAGTGTGCAAGTGTGTATGTGTTTAAAACTATTCACCAAAAATGAAAATGAGACGCTAAGAATGTCACTGTACTGAGTTGGTACATAAGTCTAGTCAAAAGAAGAAATGTGGTCCATTAGCAATTTTCACAAGTAAATATATCACTCCTATTTATTGGACTTTCTAAACTAATATAATATTTCATGGACTTTCTACTTAAATGAGCCTACAAGTTTAGAAGACATTGGACGACATCAGTGGATCATAAATATTTGATATACATATGTACATATACATGTACATATAAATATAAATATACATATAATCATATATAAATATAAATATACACATAGATATATTCACAATACACATATGCATTTATGGCATAGCTTAGTACATTCATAGCTAAATACCAAGTTGAAACTATAAATAGACTCAACTATTTTTTCCATACTGAGACAGAATAGAAAAGTTATAGGCAGTGTTTTCTTTGCCTTCTTGGAGAACATGAGTTCATAAAACAGCAATAAAAATATCATAAATTGGGTATAGTATTAATGTCAATTAGTATCCCAATGACATAATGACTGTGGTAAGACATTTAAACTTTATTGACATCAATAGCTATTATCAAGTGAAATTTATTGATGCTATAATAAAGAGGGTTGGATTTCACAAAGCTCCCAGTAATTGCCACTGAAGCTTCTGTAATACGTTGTCAGTGCACAAGTATATAAAATACCCGTGGATCAGAATACTGGCTCAGAGACATTATTCTGATGCAACTGTTCAAGACAAATGAAAATGTTTACTAAGCGCTAACTGTGAGTTTAGCTTCTACTGGAATTTATAGGGGATAAAACATAAATGACATCATGGCCCCAATCTCAAGCTGGGAATGACCTGGTTGAGAATATGGGAAAGTCAGGCATGAAGAATTTCAGAGTGCCATGCTTGTGCTTCCCTCATGACCACCCCTGACATCCTCTCTGCCTGCTGCTCATAGCTAAATCCACTCATGTTCCTCTACCTGCAACCTGACTATGTCAGTCAGTCTCTTGCCTGAGATATTTCAATGCTTCTTAGCTTTTAGCAGTTTTATTTCTAATTCCTTGGCACTGACTGGGCCTTAGAACACTTAATTCTTCTCTTGTTTCTACAAAATCATTTCTTAAGATGCTTGACTTTTCTCTTTGTGAATTTACAGTCTTTGTTTATGTTTTGTTTTGTTTTGGTGGTTGTTTTAATATTCTATTCTCATTGAGTTGCTAAGTGCCTCCTTAAATTTCTGAGACTGGCTTTGAACTCAGGATCCTTCTGCCTCAGCCTCCCTAGCTGCTGGGATTATTGGCATGGGCCACCATGCCCAGCTACCAGTCTTTTTTTAAATTTAGCTCTTGCTGTTTATTTAGCTGTGGTACATAGACCTTGCCTCCAAACTGGCTTTTTGTATTTACACTTTGCCATTGTTTATTGCAGTATTTTTCAGGCCCACTGAGCAAGAGGTGATTTGATTCACTTCTTTTTTCTGGCCCCATCCAATACTGCAGGTATTATGAAGCTTTGGAATAAGATGACTGTTCTTCCCACTGGCATACAAGCTCTTTGAGGCCGGCAACTAACCAGCCTCTTGTGTACTACAAATTATCTATATCCTAGTATCAGCATGTCAATGCATGATGACTTCTGATGCCATGGAGTCATAAATTTATATGAATCATAAATTCATAAAATTTGTCTTGAACAAAATTCAAGACAAATTTTTAAAATTATTTTCTTCAAAATTATTCTGCAGATAAGAAA